GACCACGCCAGTACCCCCAACACGCTCAGTACCCAGCACACCCATGCCGGTACCCCCAGCACACTTAGTACTCAGCACACCCATGCCACTACCCCCAGCACGCTTAGTACCCCACACACCCACACCAGCATCACAGAGGAGCAGAGGCCGATATGGTGCTGAGTGCCATATGGCGTCTCCTGAAACTCATCTTGAAATAATCTCAGCTATAGCAGGGTATGGTGGTGTGCACCTGTAATCCCAGCTACTTGGGAGGCTGAGGCAGAATTGCTTGAACCTGGGAGGCGGAGTTTGCAGTAAGTCAAATTCGCACTACTGCCTGCTAGCCTGGGTGACAGAGTGAGTTTCCATCTCAAAAATAAGTAAATAAATAAAAATAAAAAATTAGACCGGCGTAGTGGCGCCTAGAGTCCTAGCTACTCGGGAGGCAGGGGGTCAAGCTGCAGTGAGCTGCGATTGCACCACTGCACTCCAGACTGGGTGACAGAGCAAGATCCTACTGCCCCCGCCAGATCCCTTCTTAGCCAGGTTCACGTGTGTTCACGTATGTTCACGTGTTCACATGTTCACGGTGTGTCTTCACCCCTGCCCCCTCCCGTGTATGCACAGCACGTCAAGCCGTGGCTATTTTTTCTGATCTAGTTGAGAGTTGCAGACACAAGACCCCTTTATTTACTGACACTTCTGTGTGCGTTTCCTGAGAGGGAGGACGTTCTCTTAAATGCCGCACCATGATCAACGTCAGGAGTTAACGCCCTGCGTGACTCTCAGCCGTGCTGAAGACCATAATCAAACGTCAACAGCTGTCCCAACAGTGACTGCTTTTTTTTTTCTTTGTTTTGAGATGGAGTCGCTCTGTCGCCCAGGCTGGAGTGCAGTGGTGCGATCTCGGCTCACTGCAGCCTCTGCCTCTTGGATTCAAGCGATTCTTCTGCCTCAGCCTTCTGAGTAGCTGGGATTACAGGCACTCGCCACCACGCCCAGCTAGTCTTTGTGTTTTTAGTAGAGACGGGGTTTCATCATGGTAGCCAGGCTGGTCTCGAACTCCTGACCTCAGGGGATCTGCCCACCTCGGCTGTGAGCCATGGGACCAGCCGACAGTGACCTTTAGAGCAGGAGGCGCCTTCCCACCCAGGGTTGCTGGCTGTTTGCATTCCTCCGACTGAGGTTCATGTCGGTCGGTCTTCTTTTCTGTTTGGAAGAGCCTGTGACGTCCTTGACCACTGTGGCCACTCTATGCACCCCCGAGGCCATCTGCACTCGCTCCAGCCCTTCCCACCAGGCACGGTCTTGGAGCGCCTGTGCCCACAGGCCTGCCTTCCCCCCACGGCCCACTCTGCAGCCCTTCTCCTCACGGTGCAGGGATTCTGTCCCACAGGGCCACGCCCCATCCCACAAAAGACTCCAAACGCAGGGCCTTTTCCTGGGGCCTTGGGCTGTGCAGAGACACTGGCTGGGGCGTCTGGCCCATGCCCTGGGGATCTGGGCCCGAGCTTCGTTCTGTATGCGGCTGTGTGCAATGGTCTGGGATGCCAGGGGAGGGCTGTGGGGGCAGCTCAAGGGCAGGGCCATGGTGGCAACTCAAGGGCAGGGTCCAGACTAGGCCAAGAGAGCACCACCGCCCAGCCACGCCGGGTGGCCCCCGTCCCAAGCCGACTCTTGGAGCAGACTCTTGCAGCCCGGCTGCAGACGAGGGCCTTTGGGGGTTCAGGGCAGCTGGGCCAGGCCTTCTACCAGGCCCACGGAATCAGAAGGCCCCTTGGGTCCTTAGAGGAGCCACAGGCCTGGAGCAGCTCCCGGATGCCACACAACCCCTCTTTTGGTGTGGAGAGAGAGAGGCCTGTGAGGTTGGCCCATGAGTAGTGAGGGGCCAGGGCCACTGATGCTTCGGGGTGCAGGAGGGTACAGAGGTGGGCGGGGTGAGGGGCCCGGCCAACCTCCTCCTCCTGCGGCCCTACAGGGGTGCACCTGCCCAACCTGGACCAACTGAAGCTGAATGGCAGCTACCTGGGCTCCCTCAGGTGAGTGCCTGGGTGGGGTGGGCTGGGCCCCTGCCGTGAGGGGATCCAGGGGCAGGCCCTGCAGCAATGAGGGAGAACTTGGTGGGAGTGGGGGGCCTTGGGCTGGGACAAGGGTCCCAGGGGTCTAGAGAGCACCATCCTGCTGGCTGCCTGACCCCAAGTGACCCTGTGGAGGGTGGATGGGCAGGTGGGGGGAGCCTGGGACTTTCAGGCGGGTCTGGGCCCCCTCCAGCTGTGAGAGGGTCTCTCAGCGGGTCTTTGTTGAGAGGACTACTCCTGGACCAGCCTGGCTCCCAGGGGTCCTACCTATGCCCTATGGCCTCTGGCTCAGCCCGGATGCACCCCCTTGCCACGTGACCCTGGCACGCGTAGCTCTTGTGTCTAATGGGTGGGAGGCCCCCGCTGCAGGTGCCCCCCCACTTGGAGCTGGGCCAGGGTCACAGCGGTCATGCCAGGTCGCATGGCCAAACAAACACCCCAACGGTGCCCCCACCGTGAGCTGTCCCTGGTGGACACCCCAAAGCCTACCGAGGCTGGGGACTTCTGTCCTCTGCACCACGCCTTGCAGCCCGGGACTTTGGCTGTACCATGAGGCCAGGAGCTTGGGGTCTGGGCAAGAACAGCAACCTCCAGCCAGAGCCCACCCACGGAACCCGGACCAGAGGCAGCCCCCAGGAGAAGCACGGGAAGCTCCGTGCCCTGACAGCGACTCACAATTTAGAGCTGAAGACATGGTGGTTCTCACATCATCGGAAGGGAAAGAACAAGGCGGAAGGAACGTTATTCTGGAGGTTTAGGCAAAGTGGATTTTGTGAAAACGCTGCTGGTTTTATGTAGCCTGTTCCCAGCAGCATTAAGGCAGAAGAATTCCAGACAGAGTTCTAGAACATTCTCCAGCTGTTTGAATTGGGCTTCAAGAGCCACATCTAGTTATTTACAGATGAGGATAAGGTATTGAATACACAACCTCGCTTTGAATGTTTTCTTGATTTTCCTTATTTTTACCTCTGTTTATGAAGCAAATATCAAGTGGGCTGGGCACAGTGTCTCACGCCTGTAATCCCAGCAGTTTGGGAGGCCAAGGTGGGCAGATCACCTGAGGTCCAGGGTTTGAGACCAGCCTGGCCAATTTGGTGAAATCCCATCTCTACCAAAAATACATAAATTAGCTGGGCATGGTGGTGCATGCCTGAAATCCCAGCTACTAAGGACACTGAGGCAGAAGAATTGCTTGAATCGGGGAGGCAGAGGTTGCAGTGAGCAGAGACCGCGCCACTGCAATCCAGCCTGGGTGATAGAGTGAGACTCCACCTCAAAAAAAATAAATATCTGAAGGAATTTAATAAAATACACGAAGACCTGGAAATGGAAAAGATTGGACAACACTCTGGGGTCGAATACACAGTGGGCAGCCCACAGAACTGGGACAGAGAAGAGGCCTGGAAATGAAGCCAGGCCTGCGGCAGGCACCCCGACAGTGCCATGAACCAGAAACTAGGATGGGTATGGGAAATAGACTTCTTGGAAGCATGCCTCCTAGCCAGGCGCGGCGGCTCACGCCTGTAATCCCAGCACTTTGGGAGACCGAGGCAGGAGGATCACTTGAGATCAGGAGTTCAAGACCAGCCTGGCCAACATGCTGAAAATCTGTCTTTACTAAAAATTTAGAAATTGGCTGGGCATGGTGGTGCTGGTAATCCCAGCTACATAGGAGGCTAAGGCACGAGAATCACTTGAACCCGGGAGGTGGAGGTTGCAGTGAGCCGAAATCACACCACTGCACTCCAGCCTGGGCAACAGAGCAAGAGTCCTCCTTCTCAAAAAAACAGAACAAAAACGAAGAACATTAAAAAGTGCCCCAGGACAAGACTATTGATATTCTAATGGAGATGGCTGTGTTTTTTTTTAGCTTAACAAAGAAGTCTCTATTGTTAAGACCAACAAATTGGCTTAAAGAACAACAAAAATATATGTTCAATAAATAAAATATAAAAGCTTTTGTTGTAGAATTGAAGACAAAACATTTAAAAAAAAAAAAAAAAATGTAAAAGAAAGCCAGGCACGGTGGCTCACACCTGTAATCCCAGCACTTTGGGAGGCTGAGGAGGGTGGATCACCTGAGGTCAGGAGTTCCAGACCAGCCTGGCCAACATAGTGAAACCTTATCTCTACTAAAAATACAAAAATTAGCTGGGCATGGTGGCCCGTGCTGACAATCTCAGCTACTCTGGAGGCTGAGGCAGGAGAAACACCTGAAGCTGGAAGGCAAAGGCTGCAGTGAGCCAAGATTGCACCACTGCACTCCAGCCTGGGAGACAAAGCAAGACTCTGTATAAAAAAAAAGAAACAAAAAGGTAAGATGATCCAATGAAATACTATTGTAACTTAGCTGATCACAGCTATTAAGTGTATTAAAATCTCAGGCAAGGGCCGGGTGCAGTGGCTCACGCCTGTAATCCCAGCACTTTGGGAGGCCAAGATGGGTGGATCACGAGGTCAGGAGTTCAAGACCAGCCTGGCCAACATGGTGAAACCCCATCTCTACTAAAAATACAAAAATTAGCTGGGCATGGTGGTGCACACCTGTAATCCCAGCTACTCGGGAGGCTGAGGCAGGAGAATCGCTTGAACCTGGGAGGAGGAGGTTGCGGTGAGCCGCAATCACACCACTGCACTCCAGCCTGGGCAATAGAATGAGACTCTGTCTCAAAAAACATGTATATATTCAAAGGAACTTGTCAGAAATAAAAGACGTCTAGCTACCGACCGAAAGGAAAAACAAACTGAATTGTTGGCACTGAAACACGTCCTAATAAAGTTACCGGCTTGAACATAAAGGCAAAAATTTGGGGCAGCCAAGAAAAGAGATCGAGTTGTCTTCTTTTTTCTTTGAGACAGGGTCTCACTCCGCCTCCCAGGCCGGAGTGCAGTGGTATGACCATGGCTTACCACGGCCTCCACCTCCTGGGCTCAAGTGCTCTTCCCACTTCAGCCTCCTGAAGTGCTGGGATTACGGGCGTGAACTACTGTGGCCGGCCTCAAGTTTTGTTTTGTTTTGTTTTGTTTTTTTGAGACGGAGTCTTGCTCTGTTGCCTAGGCTGGAGTGCAGTGGCGCAATCTTGGCTCACTGCAACCTCCACCTCCCTGGTTCAAGCAATTCTCCTGCCTCAGCTTCCCAAGTAGCTGGGACTACAGGCGCCTACCACCACGCCTGGATAATTTTTGTATTTTTAGTAGAGATAGGGTTTCGCCACGCTGGCCAGGCTGGTCTCGAACTCCTGAACTCAGGTGATCCACCCACTTTAGCCTCCCAAAGTGCTGGGATTACAGGCATGAGCCACTGTACCCGGGAGCTGGTTTTTTAAGGACAGAAAAAACGTAGTGCTCCTCAGACGTCCCCACAGTGGACACTGGAACAAAAGCCTCAGCAGCCTCCTGGGAAGATGGCACGACGCGCAGCCTAATGGCTTCAGAAGCTCCCAGCCAGGAGCCATCTGCGCGTGAGTCAGAGATCAAGGAGCTTCCATTAACCGCTCTTGGAGAAATCACTAGACACAAATCCCAGCCGATTAAGAGCTGAGTGGAAAAGCCACATAAGGCAGCAGGCTGAGGATAGATGTTGACTCCACGCACCGAAGGCGGACGGACCACAGAGAGTGCCCCTGGCAGGCCACAGAAGGAAGTAACACCCAGGTAGGCGCAGCGCTGTGAGCTGGAGAGCGTCGCAAGGAACCACCCAGCCCTGGAGGAATCCGGCCACAGTGGGGGACAGCCTGGGAGCTTGGGTGACGCTTTCACAAGGAGGCGTTCGGAGACAGCACGGCGGCGCAGAAAGGGGCAGGCACAGGGTCCCGGGACAGCGCGTGGTTGAAATCAGTGCGGCTGCACAGGGGGACAGAGCAGACAGAGGCCGTGGGTCCCGGCTGGAAGCAACGTGTCCCCGCACATGACAAGCTGCCCTGACCCACGCCAGCTCCAGCAGCTGCTCCCCACCAAACCTGCCAGCTCAGCACGGGGTCAGCCCCCAGCAAAGCCCCTCCACCTCAGTGTCCAGGGGCTCAGGCTCCCAGGCAGCTTTCCAGACCCTGACTCCAAATTCGAGTGCCCCCAAAGTTACCGAGGGGATCATCAGAAAGAGAGACCTTGTGATGGCTGCAACCCGCCGGGGAAGGGCAGCGGTGGCAGCAGGTGGGGTGTGGCTGAGCCACCCGCCGTGAGGGTCTAGCGTCCAGCCCTACAGGGTCCCGTGAGTCCCCCTCTGCAGGTGTGGAGACGAGAAACTGCGGAAATAAAAGACACAAGACACCGAGAAAGAGAAAACAGAGTTTGGGCCCAGGGGTCCACTGCCCACCAAAGCGCGGAGCCCGGCAGCGCCCGCGTGCCTGGACGCTCTGACTTTTACGGAGCACAAAGCAGGGGGCAGGGCAGGTAGGGCGAGGTCATGGGGGTCAGTGGCAGGGTCAGGAAAATCGCGTTTCTTGGAGACAGGGGCCCAGGACTTTAAAGACGAGGAGAAAACCTGAGGACAGTACTTCCTTCCTTCTTGTCGGGAAAGAACAAGGTCGCTACGGTCTGTTACTATTCCTGATTCTTATCTTCTGAGGAAAAGAGGAACCAGGTGCAGAAGCAGAACTTGGAAGCAGCCATGGAGCATGACCACGGAGGCCCAGCGCCACACAGAGACCATTAAGTCCCTGGATGTCCGCGGGCGTCCCCCACAGCCGCCAGGCCCACCACAAGAGCCTGGAGCAGCGGCGTTTCCTCCTCACTCCCCTGAGGACAGGGACATCTCGTCTGGGCCGTCTTGGACGTCTCCTTCCCTAGCTGGCTAAACAGCGGGCGCTTTCCCGGCGCGGGCGCTTTCCCGGCGCGGGCACTGCCACACAGCCGGGCATCCTCCAGCAGCCCCTATGCGGGCGGGACAGCGGGCTTAGGGCATCTTGCCTTAGGGTCACCTCTTTTCCAATGCCACTTCAGTCCCATGCTTCCTGACCCGAGACTCAGTAAGATGAAAGATTATGTGACCGTATACGTGTATATGTTTATGATTACATATGAATTTCTGTGTGATTACTCACGATTAGGTATATGGGAATGACTATGTAACTGTATCTCTAATTCTTTTCCAATTCTATGTTTATGTGAGAACATACTGAGGCTTCAGACCCTTGCCTCGGCTCTTGTGGGGTTCCCCCCCAACAGAGGGCAGCTCCCCAGGCCAGGCCCTCCAGGGCTCGGAGAAGGAGGGGGACAATGTACCCACAGCAGAGCCAAGAGGGAAAGGCAGAGACCCTCTTCCACAGCCTAGAGGCCACCATTCGAGGTGACACCTGCCCCTGCCCTGGAGGCAGCCATGGGCTGGTGGTGGCTGGGCACTGTGCTGGGCACCATGTTGACCACCAAGCCCTGCCTTCTGCAGGGACCTGGGCACATCTCTGGGCCACCTGCGGGTGCTGTGGCTGGCTCGCTGTGGCCTCACTGACCTGGATGGCATCGCCGCTTTGCCAGTGCTGAAGGTGAGTCTGGGCGCCCTGGGCTGGGGAGGGCCGGGCTGGACCCTGGCTCAGAGTCCCGCGCTGCCCAGGAACTGTACGCCTCCTACAACAACATCTCAGACCTGAGCCCGCTGTGCCTGCTGGAGCAACTGGAGCTGCTAGACCTGGAGGGCAACAGCGTGGAGGACCTGGGGCAGGTGCGCTTCCTGCAGCTGTGCCCTCGCCTGGCCACCCTCACCCTGGAGGGCAACCTGGTGTGCCTGCAGCCGGCCCCCGGCCCCGCCAACAAGGTGCATGTCCGGGCACCCGGCCAGCGTATGCATGGCAATGGGAGGCTCCCTGTGGCTCCAGCCCTGGGCCCCTCCCTCTGGCAGGGATTTCTGTGCCCACCTGTGCCCTGTGGCCTGTTCACCAAGAGTTCATCTCGTCTGTCACCAGAAGTCTGACAGCTCCCAGGGTGTCCTCCTGGGCCAGCCCTCCCAGATCCCACAGGGTCACCTGCAAGTACGTCATGTCCCTCAGCCCACGTATGCACCCGTAGGCCCACACACAAGCCACGCGGAAACACACAGAATTATGTACACAGAGGTGCACACACCTGTGTGTGCCCCGTCCAGAGCCACGCCCGGCCCAACAGACCCCACAGACCACCCTGTGCGCACATCTGTGTACGCTCTGTCCAGAGCCACGTCCGTCCCCACGGGCCCCGGAGACCACGCTGTGCACACATCACCTCCCCGTGCAGCCTGTGCGTGCACTGCTTCGAGCCGGCACAGGTGTGTGCAGGCCCTGGAGGAGCTCGCAGACCCTCGCCCTGAGCTCACAGCGCTGGCCTCATTAGCTGCCGCTTGGTGCTGCCACATGCTGGGGTCAGCATCCACCACTGCCGGTGGCTACTGCTCTGTGGAACAGAGCCCTGAGCTCAGGGCAGCTCCGTGGGCCAGAGGGCATCCCTGGCCACAGCCTTGGGTCTGGAGAGTGGGGTCCTGCATCCTGAGCGGGTGAGAGCCCATCCCTGAAGTCCCTGGGGTCGGAGAGTGACCCATGCCCGCCCCAGCAGGGCAGGGCAGCATCACCACCTCTGCCCCTGCCCTGCCCCACAGTGGGTCTGGAAGAGGGAGCCTGGGAAAGAGCTGGCCTGAAGGGCCCACCTGACCCAGACCTGCCCTCCGTCCCCGTCCGCCTGCAGGTGCCCAGTGGATACAACTACAGGGCTGAAGTGAGGAAGCTCATCCCCCAGCTTCGGGTCCTGGACGAAGTTCCGGCCGCGCACACAGGCCCACCGTCCCGCCTGCGGCTGAGCCAGGACTGGCTTGCGGTGAAGGAGGCCATCAAGAAGGGCCATGGCCTCCCCCAGCTGGGTATGACAACCCCAGGCAACTGCCCGGAGGACCCACTGCTGAGCCCCAGCTCCCCGCAGGAAGAGGCCCCACCCTGGGACTCTCAGAGACGGACAGCCACGTCTCATGCCCTCCCCCACCCTTGACCCCTGGTCCCCAGAGTCCAGGACACTGTCTCTGAGCAGCCCACAGTGGGAGAGGAGGATCTGGAGGGGAGGGCCTCTCCAGAAGGCAGCAGCGTCAGAGGCCAGTCTCTGGCCACGCAGCGTGGGTGTCGGGCTCCCTGGCCTGTGGACAGAGTCTGGGGCCGGCTCTCGGGCTGACCAGCTGGCCTGGGCCTTGGTTGACCTCTGCTTCTGACCCTCGGGCAGACTGTCCCCATGGAGGCCCCATCCGGAGACTTGACCCTGAGCTGTCCCTGCCTGAGACGCAGCCCCGAACCTCCAGGCCCTGGCCCTTCGCGATGCTGGTCCCTGGGGGCCCCCTGCCTGAAGGCCTGCTTTCTGAGGACCCAGCCCCAGAAGATAACACCAGCAGCCTCACCCATGGTAACCGACGCGCCTGAAAGCTGACCCTGCAGTCCCTCGGCCCCGAACTAGGCCCAGCCATGCTGTCTCCCACAGGTGCTGGCCAAGTCCTATGTGGGAACCCCACCAAAGGCCTGCGGGAGCGTAGGCAGCAGTGCCAGGTACACCCCCAGGGACCAGCCTCCAGGGCCCCAGCCCCCCATGGGCACCAGCATCCAGGGGTGCAGCCCTGATGGTGCCTTGCCCCACTGCCATTCCAGGGGGAGAATCCCCAAACCAGTCCCTTCTCCTCCCCAGGGCAGGGAGCCCCCGGAGCAGCTGTCCCAGCACAGGCCAGGAGATCTGGCCCCCAGCACTTCCAGCCCAGAGCCTGACCCTGCAGACAGCTCTGACTTCCTGGCCTTGGCCAGGCTTAGGCCCTGGAGGGAGCTTGGCATGGGGTGGGTGTTGCCCCGACCCTGCTGCTGTGTGTGTCTGTCTGGGGGGTGTCAGGGCTGGGGCTGTCTGTCTGCGGGGTGTCAGGGCTGGGGCTGTCTGTCGGGGGGGGTCAGGGC